CCAAGCTCTAACCCCGGATCAACAGATCGGCCAAGTATTAAGGCTGCGTTCCATCCCATTTATTTTTTCAGCTTATTACTTATTCTTGTTAAAATTAGGTTAGACCTGATCAGATCAGATCAGAAACAACTTTAAATGTAACTACAATCAATTCAGACAAGGCCACATTTTCAAAAAATCAGATGAGATCATGCAAACAAAACGCGGCCTAACTCTTATAATCGTTTTGCAGGCGTGGGATTGCATACATATCAAATGTGGCCGTGCGGGAGGGGTTTCGCAGAAAAGGGATAGCCAAAAAATTGATTGCCAAAGCGGAGGCTAAGGCCCGTAGCTGGGGTTGTCGTGCCATCGCATTACACTGCGACGCCAGTAACCCTGGCCCCACAAGACTGTACGTAGGACTCGGGTTCAAAATGGTCAAAGTCCCACAAGGATCCAACTGGCCTCAACCACCCACCATCTCTCCCGACGTTCGGTACTGTTTCATGATGAAGCTTCTTCATGAACACTAAAGTCAGAGGTAATATAGGTGTGAAAGATTTCTAGTGTGTGAATACAAGGGACAAAGTTTCTTGGAAGTGGGAAAGATTAATTATACTGTATATATTCATATAAACAGTCATTTCTGTCCAGTTTGAAATTTGGTTTGGAGGAGGAATGAATTATTGTGTACGTTTTTTTTCTTTCTTTGTAGGTGAAGAAGAAGTACAGTGGATGTACAGAGTGGTCATGTTGTAAAATTTGTTTCCATATAACACATTACAATCAATCATCTTTCAGCTTATTATATTGCTATGTACTTTATAAGGAGCATATGGACAAATAATACATATGGGGGTGAAAATGTTGGATTAAAAAATAAAATAAAATGCACAAAATTTGTGTGGTGGTAGATGAAGTGAATTGTAATGCTTGAATAAAGCCAAATACAAGGAACCCATTAGTGAATAATCAGATGAGGATTATTCTATGAGAATGGTTACTTGAATTGTGCACTGAATTTACTCCTATCCCCATAGGGATTTAGAGGTTTTAGAGTAATTAATAATTGCCAAATATACCCTTTTAATTCCAAATGACATTTCTCACTTTCACCTGTAGGATCCTTATATTAGGATCTCTCTCTCCAAATTGTGGACTAAGGAGAACCAAACAAATTTAGATTTAGGGCTTCTTCTCTTCCATTTTTCTTATTACTTGTTATTTATTTTTATTAAAATTCGAGCAGACCATAAACAATTTTTAATATAACCACAAACAAATAATGTTAGACTTTAACAAAATCATATCATATTCAACCGTATCAGACGAAAAGAACAAGCTCTTAGTACTACATTGTTCTAAACCTAGAGATGAATCAGCAGGACATATCAAACAAGATTAAACTCATATCCATACCAAAGTGTAATTTATAATATTTCATACCAAATATATGCACCCCATCGTGATTACTATATTTCCATCCTACCTTCTTGCGTGACTCAAACCTCGATTTACCGATGAATCAATTTGCTAGCGTCACAGGCAAATTGACAAAGTGCCCGCTTGACATTAGTAATTTTAAGTTAGTTTATATATTACAGAACAAAAAATTACTCCCTCCATCCCAAAAAGATTTACACGTTTCAAAAAAATTGCGTCCCACAATCCCTTACCCATTTCTATTAAAAAACCAATTTTACCCCTTACTTTTTCAAACCCTACCTATCACATCATACCTTTTTCCTAATAATCTACACATCACATCCTACTTTTACCCATCACATCAAGGGTATTTTTGGAAAGTCAACACAAAATTATCCTTCCCTTAATTTCAATTTTAGTCAAAATGGGTAACACTTTATGGGACGGAGGAAGTATTTAAAACGCAAAGGCTAATCGGAGATAGTATTCTCAAAGAAGGCCTAAACAAGTAAAGACTAGCTGCAAACAAGGCAGGCCAAGTTGATAAACTCCAGCCCAAACTTTCAGTATGAAACTAAATATGGGCAACACAGACTGCAAACATATGTAAAGAATGAGAGAAAAATTCAGGCCATAAAATAATTTAAGAAGTTTCTTACACTGTAATATACTTTTTAACTGCAAAATGAATTCTCAGCAGGTACAACAAAGAACAAATCCTACAGAGGATTTTTTTTTTAAAAAAAAAGAACAGACCAAAAATGAAAAAAAAAGTAAAACCAAAGTTGAAATAGTCTAAAAATAAATATAAAAAAAACTTACACAACCTATATTACTCTCAATCTTTCAAAGACCTAATCCAAAAAAAAAACACTAGATTAAAAAAATTATTCTATACCCCCTAAAAGCATCAACTTTTTTTTCCCAGTTTTGCTAAATTATGGTAATTAAAAACCTAGTAAAGTTTCTACCCTCAAACAGTTCTGTACAAAGAACCAATGAAATATGGGACAACTTTAAAAAAAAACCAAAATAGTACTCCCTCCGTCCCATAAAACATTTCCTGTTTAAAAAAAGGCGCGCCCTTAAAATGAGTAATTTTGGTGTTATTTTCTAATTTTGCTCTTACTTTATAAAAGAGTAGGATGAGATGTGTAGAATAGATTAGTCATAATTAAAAAACAACACCAAAATTACTCATTTTAAAGGCGCGTCTTTTTTGAAACAGGAAATGTTTTATGGGACGGAGGGAATAATAAAATTCCCAACTGCAGCAGCTACAAGAGAGGAGAAAATCTCATTTACTCCTCACTAGGAAAACTGTGTTTCTTTCTTTCTTCCTTTCTTACACCTCATTTGGTCGCCGGCGGGGCGGCGGTCGGAGTGGCGGTGATGCCGGAAGCCCGGCTCCTCATCTCCACCACCTTCTTGTGGGAATTTGAGTGCACGGACGCGACGAAAGTGGGGCTCGCTGCAGGCCGGTACTCCGGGAAGAGGCGTCCCGACTTGTAGCGGACCCCACAGGCGTTGCAGAGCGTCTTCGGGCCCATGGGCCCCGCGCGCCACTGGGGTGTCTTTGTGATCTCGCAGTGCATGCATTTCCTGACGACCTCGTCCTCCTCGCGCTCCTGTTTCTGCAGACGAGGCACCGTCGCCCCAGACGAAGCCATCGAGAACTTGATCTTCTTTTTCTTCTTCTTCTCCTCCGCCTCCTGCGGTGGCTCCGGCCCCGGAGCCGCCAGCGAGGTCTCGATGAGCTGCATGACTGGCCAGGGGGGATTGAACGCCACGGGACGGGGGCGCTTGCTGCGGGCCCGATGCGGGCCACGCTGGCTCGGGCTCAGGGGCATTGTCGTCATCATACCACGCGGGTAAGAGGAGCTGCTGCTGCTGCTACTGCTGCTCTCGAGGACCGAAATGGGACTAGCGGCGGCGTTGGCGGCGGCGGCGGTCTTGGATTTATACGGTGGAGGAGGGTTGGGGTTTATTAAACAGTTTTCCTTGGCAAGAGTGAGACCCCTGCCGGAGAACGACTCCTCCACGAACGTCGAAAGCCATTCCAGCTGGACTATGTCCTCGTACTGCCGTTCATATATATTAACCAAAGGAAGACCAATTAGTTAATAATAACAATAATAATGATAATGATAATAATAATAATAATAATAATAATAATAATAATAATAATAATAATAATAATAATAATAGTACCAAAAAAGAAATTTGAATTTCAAACACCTTCCATTTTTTTATACCTAAAGGAGTGATGAAGATAATATGGGAACCAGAAAGAAAAATAAATTTTAAACCACCACCGACAAGATATTTTTTTGACAAAACTGACCTATGAAAATCACATGCCCATCACGTGTTGTGTTTTCTTTACTCATGCTTCCGGTCTCCCATTTATTTATTGTCCAAAATAAAAAAAAATATACTCTCTAAAAATTAGTCTAATTTACTATTTTAGGTTTTCAATAACGTTTGCTTTCTTGTGTTTTATTAATCATTTCATATAATAAAATACACATGTTATCATTTGATATATAAAAATTTTGATACAGTTTTTAAATATGTAACTTATATTTTTATTTTCATACAATTTATCAATCATTTAAATTTTTTTTGCACATTATTCAAAATAAGAAGATAATTTTGAACGAGCTTGTAGTCACCATCACATTATTCCATCGTCTCTTAATTATTTTTCTATTTTCTTATTTAGGATCACCCAAAAGTTTTCTTCCATTTTTTTATTTAAAAAAAATTATAAAGTCCATACGATTCTTTCCGTCCCAAACCATTTTTTTACACTTTATGCAAGACGAAATAAAATTTTAATTTTTTAAATTCATTTTGTATAAAGATTGGTACAAAAGTTAGAAATAAGACTTACACATTTGAAAACTACGTCAACAATTCTAAGACGTGATAAAAATATTTTATTTTATTAAATAATCAAACAAAATAGACAAATAAATAAAAGTTTTCTTCACTTTAAAATAATGAAGAGTGTACTTCTTTTTAGGACAATTAAAGTATATTACAAACCACAAGTCTACAATACACCCAACCCAAGATCTATTTTTATTAAAGTTTAAGAATATACTCCAGGTAGATTATACATTGGACCTAACCTACGGAGTATAACTTTTGTTTTTTTACATTGGATTATTAACAAAAAAGCCCACCGGCCCATACCCGAATTTTTCTATTTTTAAGTTTTAAGCACTTGATTTTAACTTTTTTTTAAATAACGTAAATAATAACGGAGTATTTAATTTTAACTTTCAGAAAATATTTTTTTTAATGCCGGAAAAGATAAAATCAAAATTGGTAAAGGGGAGCTCACCGGAACGGAGAGTTCGGCCGAGAGGTCGGAAGCGGAATTGGCGGCGGCGGCGGAGAAAATTGGGTCGGAATCCGGCAATGGCTGGTTCCAAATGCCGGGGAAATTGACGCAGTCGCCGGAGCCGACACCGCCGGCGCACTCGTTCTCCGGCGGAAAATCAATCAAGTCGTCAATGTGATCGAAGAAGCTGCCGCAGTCCATTTCATCGACGAAATTCGTACTACCCATTTTTTTTTCGTTCAAATCTTTCACCTGCGAAAATAATAATTATAATTATAAATAACAGTTCTTGATCAGCTTAAACCGACGGGAAAGAAGAGTATTTATAGCCCTTCAGCCCCCAAAAAACTCTGAACTGAAACCGTCCAAACTTCGTATATATCCATTCCATTTTAGCAGAAAGGTGAGGGAAAAAATGGGAATTTTGAATTTCGCACAAAAAGAAAGCAAAATCACACAATTCTGGCACTCTGTTTCTTGAAAATTCTCCGTTTCAGGGCGATTTGTGGGCAAAAAACGAATCTTTTTTTTAAAGAATTGACATAATCGGCCATTAGAGTGAGAAATCAACACGAAAAAAGCAGGAGAAGATGAATTGAGAGGCCAAAGAAGGAAGATTTGTCAAAAACAGAGTGCCGGAAAAGCCATGATTTCGAAAGGAAAAGACCCATTGCAGGGGAGAAAGAAATCAAGAATTGAAAAGAAGAAGTACCTTTGAAGCGTGTGGGGGGAGAGGAGACGAGAGAGAGAGAGAGAGAGGTGGTGGTGGCGTAGAGATGAAGAAGATGGAAAGGGGGGGAGGAGAGTGAGGGGTTGAAGAAGAGAAGAGCTAAAAAAGGGAAGAGGTGAGGGTGGGGTATGTATGGTATGGTATGGTAATGGCAATGGTATGGTAGGTTGGGATCTCTCTCTCTCTTCTTTCTTCTCACTACTCACTGCTAGCTGTCATTTATTAAGTCTTCTCTTACACCTCTTCCTCATTAGGGGTGGACCATCCCACACTCTTATGGCCCCACCCACCCATTGCCCTATGCCCAACACACTGGTAATACATTTCAAACCCCAGGCTTCAAACTTTCTCACTCTGTCACGTCAGCTTTAACTTACATCCAAAATTTACTGGAAATGGTTTTGAAATCCCAGGGCTTCAAACTGGGGCTTCAAACCTTCATTTTTTACATTTTTAAATATACATCTTCTAAATTTAAATTAATAAATTTACATTAATTTATTATTTTAATTAATCGCAATTACACTAGTGCATAAAAAAAATTAAATTCATTATAAAAAAAATCTTACATTCATAAAAAAAACATTCAAAAAAAATTACATTCATTAAAAAAATTACATAAAAAAACAACAGTACAAAGAAATCACTAATTATTCGAACGACTAAAGATATGCTCGATCAAATCCGCCGTTAGTGCATTGTGAATCTCTCGATTTCGAATTTCTTGGCGGTTGCGTCATTTCTTTTCTTCGGTGATTTCTTCGTACATAGGCACCTCTTCCTACGGGTTGTGTTGACAAATCGCAGACCCGTTATCCTCTATGATCATATTATGAAGGATAATACATGCGTACATGATATTCCTCATTTTTTTCTGAGAATAACATTTCGACGGACGATCTAGAATGTGCCACTTAGCCTTCAAGACCCCAAAGGCTCGTTCAATATCTTTTCTCGCCGCCTCTTGAGCTTTTTTGTAGGTTTGGCGTTTAAGACCCATAGGTTCGGAGAGGGATTTGACAATCGTGGAATAATCCGGATATATTCCATCGGCCAAATAATATCCACGCTTGTAAAGCGTCCCTCTAAGCTCAAAAGAGGAGTCTGGTGCGGTCTCATTAATCCAATCGTCAAAAACAGGCGATTGATCGAGAACGTTGATGTTGTTGTTCGAGCCCGCGACACCGAAAAAGCATGCCAAATTCACAAGTCATTCGAAGTAACAGCTTCGAGCATGATGGTAGGCTTGAGATGATCTCCCCGGGAGAATTGATCGTGCCACGCAGTGGGACAATTTTTCCATTCCCAATGTGTGCAATGAATACTCCCAAGCATGCCGACAAAGCCGTGTTTAGCGGCATGCCTCGCCTGCAACTGCTGGATGTCGCTCGCTGTAGGCTTGCGTAAATATCTTTTATGATAAATTTGAATAATAGCTTTTGAAAATTTATAAACACAGGACCTGATGCTCCGAGCCGACATCTTCAAATATTCGTCGAACATATCGGATGTCGTCCCGTATGCCAAGTGACGGAGCGCGGCAGTGCACTTTTGGACGCTACTAAACCCGCGTCGGCCTCTCGCATCAAACCGTTGGTTGAACCAAGGAACCTCGCGTTCAACATCGGCGAGTATGCGTAAGAAGAGAGGACGACTCATCCGAAAATGATTACTAAAATCCTCCGGTGTATAAACACACGGATTATTAAAGTAGTCGTTTAGAAGTAAATCGTGGGCGGCCGCTCGATCCCGGTTTAGACGTTGGTGTTGGGTCCATCGTCGGGAGGATTCGGCTTCTTCTTGGCCATCTTCCCACCATTGAATACAATTCGTCGCGAGACAACGAAAAAATAAAGCTCTTCTTTCATCGTCGGAAGATGAACCCATTTTTAAATTATATTTTATAAATATTTATAATAAATAATAAATATTTTTGAGAGAATATATAGTAATAAAGAGAGATTTGTGAGAGAGAGGTGTGAGAAAGATGTATGAGATAGGGGGATTTTATAGGTTTTTTTAAAATTTAGAATTTTTTTTAAAATTTGGGAGGGGGGGTGGGTAACGGCTACATAGCCGTTGGGAAGGGGAGAGCTGGCTAAAAAACGCAACCAAGCCGCGTCAAACTTTTGACGCTGGTGAACTCACGCCCGATCACGCCTGGAGGGGGGCGGTGTTTCACGCCCCCGGGGTGTTAAATGCCCGTTCACGCCGGCGGGCGTGAAGCCCATTTCCAGTGCTCTCAATAGCCTCTTCTTCTTTTTTCTATTCACGGGAATTTACCTAAATAGAACTAAAATATAATGACTTTCTTAATATAAAATTATATTTTTTCATTTCTCAATGTAGAACAATTGGTCATTATTCAAGTACATGTCTACTATTACTAGACATTATTCCTCGTCTAGACATTATCATGTACTATTTAGGAAATACAAAAGTGTAAATCTTGCATTAGAAAATGATTTATGTTTTAGTCCTATTTAATGTGAATTTTTATTGTTTTTACTTAAAAAAATGAAGTTATTTGTACACCAAAACTTGTATCTCATTTTGTATCCAAAGGCATACACCGATATTTTATGCTAGTGTGATGATTTACGTCGACAAAAAATATCAGTGTAACTTTTTTAAATGGAACTAATATTTTGTGTTAGTGTGAATACTTAAAATGTCGGTACATTTCTTTGGAGTACAACTTGGGATACACTTTTCGGTGTATCCTAGCATGGTTAAAAAAAAGAGGCCCGTTCTTGAGAATCTTCTTGTATTGTGTGGAGAATCACTAGATAAAACTGAATTAGATTTTAATTACATATTGGTGGTAAAGAGTAGAGCGCACACTTAATGTTTGCAAAGATCTAACATTTAACATAGTTGTCTCCAGTGTAGTTGTCATAAATCAAACTCGAGTATTGTCCCCTGGACACTCTTATTGTTCAAAATTCAAGGAGTTGAGAGGTGAGTTTCAAAAGAGTACATTAATATTCGATTTCTAGCAATGATGATAAAGACAATAGTGTTTTGTATAAGGTTTTTAAATGACCAAATACAAGCCTTAGAGCATTTACAGTGGGCGAAAAAACACGTCGCACCACTACGAGGAACAGGGTGTGTGGCGAGGCTCCACTACTGAGAGGCGAGTGAGCCGGAAGACACGGTGGGCACTGAGAAAACGGCATACGGTGCGATGAGAAAAAGACGCGACATCCATTGTTGACGTTCACCATGTTGGTCCACTTTTTTCATTTTTTTTTATTTTTTAACATTTTAATTTTTTATTTTAATTTTAAACCCTATAAATTCATCACATCCTCATCTCCATTTCATCCACTCTCATCTCACTCAACTCGCTCTTATCTCACTCTCATCTCACTATCCAAATATGAATTCTTGCGGAAACAATTTCCCTTTCGAGGATTTTGACCTTGATGCTCTCATAATATTTGCAAACTAAGCTAGTTTTCATACGAGTGGAGTGGGCTACGACTTTGTCCTGTTCTCAGGCTCCAACTATAGCACCTACCAATTGTCGACTGTCAATACGACTGACTATAGTGTTTCTTAGTTGGAGCTTATCACTGAGGGAATTTGTAAAGGAAAGGCCAAAAAGAATGAAGGGTCGAAGAAGAATACCCCGACAAAAACTCTGGCGTTGGTGAGTTTCTACGTTGACGTGTCAAAGCACTTCATCATCGGCAACTCCTAAAAATATAAAATGTTTTGGGAGCGTGTCATAGCAAAGTATAATGTCGAGAGGCCCCATGGTACGGTAACATCTTGAGGAGGTGGCCCGGTGGGCCCAATGCCGAAGACATTCTCTCAAAGGCGTCAGACCTTTATTATCAAGCGGAAAATAAAATTTTCAAGTTCTAGGAGACTTGGAAACTTTTGTACAAAAGCCCCAAAATGAGCATTGGGCTGAATACAGGAGGATCAAAGCCAAAGCGATTCACACTATTCGAGACTGGTTCGTACTTGCCGAGCAAGGCCGGGCAGTCCATTGACCTCAATGACACGGAAGATAACTTTTCCCCACTCTCGGGTGAAAAACCCAATGTGACAGTTCCTAGTATACCACCCCCACCCTAAACCCGTTGGATATAATGAATAGTAACGTAGAAAGCATGAACTTTGTTGTTCATTGCAACACCCTCATGGCACTCATGACAATGGATATGTCAGGGTGTCAGAGTTGCAGCTGAAGATGCACAATGCCATGATGGCGACAGTTCACACCATGATAAGTAGGAAAAATCAATAATATTTTTTTAGGTTTAACTTTCCAAACACTTGTATTTTAGTATTTATAATTTTAATTTCAATGTTAAGCATGTTATATTTTCCCTTTCATTATGTTAATGTGGTATTTCCTAATTTTAAATTTTTTAAAAGTTACACCCCTTTTTATTTTTATAATTATTCATATATTTTTATTAATTAATAAATATTTTATTAAATTTATTTAAATTTTTAATAAAATATGATGATTAATTTACATGAAACGAAGACACAGGGCAAAAAGGCGATAACACTGCAGGTGTTTTTGAGCGAGGCTTAAAAAGAGGGGGAGTGGTGATATTGTAGTGTGTGTGTATATATATATATATATATATATATATATATATATATATATAATTTATATATAAATAGATTTTAGTTTAGTAATTATGAAAATAATTTTTTTAAATGTTACTTCCTCTTTCTCAAAATAAGGCTCCTATTTACTAACTAGTACCCATAGGGTTAAAGTAAATATACATTTTTACACATTTTTATCAATTATTTGATAAAACAAAATAGTTGTGTAACCACTTTGTTTTCAAAAAAACTTCAGTTTAATATATAATTTTTATATGTGAATTCTTCATTATTTTTCATTTATATTGATTTGAAAGTAAATAAAATCAAACATCGTAATTTGACGATGGAAATTACCAAAATACCCCTAACTTTACTTCATTTTGACAGATGTCTAGTCATTAGACTTACCGAAGCATGAATCACAATCAATGGGTACCACCATGGTAATTATTTTTTTTGGAAATTACTTTGGGAAATTATGTTGTATTTGGAAAATTTATTATTTTTTTATCTCGTTGAAAATTTAATATGCAATACAAATTAAGAATACTTAACAGTTAAAGTGTGTCTGGGTTATCTACTAAAATTTTTGTTTGTTTTCATTTGCGTTTATACTTTTGTTAAAAAAATTACTATTCAGAGCAACTTTGCTTTTAATAATTAATTAAGTATACAACCTTTCTAAGTTTAAAAACATTCAAATTTGATTAAAGGGAAAAGTATAGGAAGTTCTCAAATTTACAGACATTTTGAACCTGTACTTTCGCTTTATAAAAAAAATACTCATTATTGATTTGAATAGTGCTCATTTTCTTACTCTAATTGTGTTTCATCAAATTTCTAGCAAATAATGTTCATTTTTGTATGGAAACACTTGTTTTACAACTTTTAAGGTTGAATTTAATTTGTTTCCAAAAATGTCCTCTCTCCGTTCAATTAAATAAATACTCCGTATTACTTTGTATATTGATAAAATGAAATAATTTTTCAAAAACATTTTGTAAAATAATTGTACATAAATTATGTTTATTCTAATACATAATAATTTTTACGGAGTATTTAATTTATGAATTAAAATTTATCTACCTTCACTTCTTACAGTGGGGTTTGAAGCGGGTATTGGATTCACCGTAGGATTGTGATTGGGTTCCGTGTTTCACATTAATTTGCAGGGTGACATTATTTATGGGATTTATTACTTTTTTGATGATACATACATACATCAATACATACGCGTCTAATACTCGATGTACACGCACTTCCACACCCAAAGTTATAAAACCTGCAATTTTCTTTCCTTTTTAATATATTCTTCCTTAGCTTTCTTTCCCTTGAAGGAAAATAAATATCCATTCACATACACTTGTGTAAAGTAGTAGTACTAGAGGTGGAAATCGGATTAACCAGATCGTTTTCGGGTTGGATTTTTTCGGTTTGGTTTTTTTCGGTTATATGTTATAATCGGTTCGGTTCAGTTCGGTTAAATTTCGGTTCGGATTTGATTTCGGTTCTATACATTTTTTGGTTCGGTTCGGTTTTGAGTCGGTTCAGATACAGTTCGGTTATAAATCGGTTCGGATAGATTTCGGTTCGGATACAATTTGAGTCGGTTATATTTCGGTTTTGGGTCTAGTTTGGTTCAGATATATTTCGGTTTCGGATCAAATATATTTTGGATATATATTATTTTCTAATTAAAATTGAACTATCCGTGTTTTTTTATGTTTTATCACATTTATCAATTTATCATCAATTCAATACCTCATACTATTTTATATTTTTTTCTAGTTATATTATCTCTACCCTAAATAATCTTCCCTTTTTGACTTTTTAGTCATATTTTATAAATTTGGACTACAAATTATGAAAACATATAGATTTAATTATGATATAAATTTAATATAATTAAATTGATTTTAAAATTTAGTTTGAAATATCAAATTTTTCTCACATCTTCTAATATACTTATGTATATAAATGAAAGGATAAAAGATAAATTCAAATAGTCTTATGTTCCATTTGAATACAATTTGGTAAAAATTGAGTAAAATTGGGTGAAATTAAGTGAATTTTATTCAATTGAGTGCAAAATTTGTAAATTATTGAGTATATTTGGTTGAAAATAGAGAAAATTAAATTTAATAGAGTCAAATATAATTAATTTTACACCTAAATGTAATGGTGTAGATCAAATTTGAAAATGATAACAGCCAAGGCTGCCGCTAGAGAGACTTTTCAAAATGCTAACACTAGCATCTAATTTTATTGACTAATATTGAGTGAATTAGTTTGAAACTAATCAAATTAACTCTCAAATCAATAAAATTTATTGTAATGAGATGAAATTAGGATAAAATCTAGTTATTTCATACAATTCATCATATATTTCTTTCGTCCCAAAAAGAATATCACACTTCAATATTTAAAAATTACGGAAATTTTATTAGTTTGTGCGTTATCATTTATATGTATAACTTATCTTTAATTTCTACATATAATAAATTTAAGGCATAAATTTTGTAATTTTTTTCCAAGAAGATAAGCCATTTTATGAGAGGATGAGCAAGTAATGTAATTAGTTCAAATGGTAAAATAAAAGTAAAAATTTAAAAATATAATATGCTTATTGAAAAGCAAACATAGTTCTGAATTTATCGATTTTAGTTCTAATCGGGTTCGGATATTATCGTTTTCAGATCTAATCGGTTTCGGTTTTTTCGATTTCGGGTATTATCGGGTTTGGATCTAATCGGTTTTGGGTTTAATCGATTCGGATATTATCGGTTTCGGATCTAATTAGTTTCGGATTTAAATCGGATATGAATTATTTAGTTCGGTTTCGGTTCGATTCGGATCATTTCGGGTTTTCGGTTATAGATCGGATCTTCATTTTTCGGGTCATTCCGGTTTCGGTTTCGAATATTTCGGTTTGGGTAATCGGTTCCGGTTCTGTTTTGTCAGGTCTAAGTAGTACTCTCTATATTTAGAAATTTACCCTTCCTCCCAAAATGGTTTAAACTTTGACTATTTGAGTCTCTTAACTATTTTTGTTTACTGGTATGTTTTTATTAATTATTTTTTTCATAAAATAAAATATTTTTGTATCAAGTTTTGTTGCATGTTTGATGTAGCTTTTTAATATATAATTTATGCATTTTATTTTTTTATAATAATTAATGAATAAAATCATTCTAAAAGGAATAAATTTTGCACATTGTTTTAACAATGTTAATCAATTTGGGACGAAGAAAATAATACTTAAATAAGGCTTGTTTTTGTTTGTTGGGAAACTTAGGGGTGAGAAGTATCAAATCCATACCCAAAATTTTCAAGAAAATTCAAAACGAAAAATATCGAACCAAAAAAATATCACTAAAATACATAGTTGTACTGAATTGAACAGTTTTGTATTTTGAGAAAATAAATCACTCCAAGTAGGAGTAAACATATCATTTATTGTCAAAATAAGAGTTTCAAGCTTTTATGTAAAATCTCAATCCGTCCAGATCTGCAGTTTCTTTCGGACTAAGTATAAATTTGGTAATCGTAAACATTTAAAACATTTCAAACATTTTCAAACTTTATTTCATAAAAATTATTCGGAATAGTAACGAAGTATTTAAAGTTGCGGAAGCAAAAATACAAATGTCTCATCACAATAACAAATGATTACTTAATATCTTTTGAAATATTAATTCAAAGCTATCACATCTTTCCCGACAACCTCGCCCCATCTTCCGCCAGAAACCTTTCACGTAATTCTCTCTTCTTTTCTGCGTGTAGCAAATAAAACATACTACATGCTCAGCTATAAAGCTGAGTAAGGATATTTAATGGAGTAATGCTAGAGTCACAAATAATTTAGACACAAACTTGACAAACTAACCATTTGTGTATGTAAATTCCTATTTTTAAATTATTTAACATCATTTTATTCACTTAGAAAAATACACAAATAGCAAGTTTGTGTAATTTGTGTCCAAGTTATTTGTGACTCTAGCATTACTCTATCTAATGCATCAAACATCCATATAAATTGAATCTCAATTCACAAACAAATCATTTGATATCATGCGCATGATATTCAGTTCAGTTATTCAATAATGTTCAATATTCATAATGTCAACAATGCTCTTAAATTAGTCTTAATCTAAGGCCAAATTCATAACGTTTATCAACTCGTAAACTTTATTCTTAGTTTAAGGTACTACTAATCCACCCTTAAACTATATTCTAGTTTAAGGTACTACTAACCAACTTTTAAGCTAATCTACTTTAAGGTACAATTTTAAAAAAGGTTTTCCAATTCTTAAACTAGTCTTAGCTTAAGGTACACAAAGAAACCGAAAAACGGACTGCTCAACGTCGGGTTGGGTCATATCCCCAAACGAGTGATCCTCTAGTTTAATTTATGAATCTCGTACGCACATTTTTACCTAGGTCACCAAATATACATATTTATACCTGCAATGCTATTCTAATCTAAGGTCTATCTTAGAGGTCTTCTAGATAGCTTACCTTAACAATACACACCACTTTCTTACTCTTCAATCTATTCGTTTTGATTCATGGTTCAATAATTTATAATCCTCATTTTAATCATTATATTCATCAAGGTTTAGAACGTGATTCGCCCCTTTACATGATACATGAGCCACACACACACACACACACATATACTCCCTCCGTCACCTTTTTGATTACAATATTCTGTTTTTGTGTGTATTAATAATAAGTCACATCACTTAAAAATTTCCCAAACTACCCTCTAAATTCATGTATTGGTCATCACGTGGGAAGAGCTCAAACTTGGTTTAAGTAAAGCAAATATGAATAGTACATCACTGTTTACATCATTGAGACTACATACTCCGTACTGGGACAATAGAGGGAAAAGTAGAGCCAAAAAATTCCAAAAATTTCAGTTCCCTCCTAAATTTCACTTACTATAAATAACTACATTTACTACTGACTTTCCCCATCAGATTTTTTTCTCTGCAGACCCTTTCCTTTAATGGATTTGCCTTTATTTCCATTTGATTTGAATGAAGTTCCGCCATTGTCAGCATCGGAACATGCAGCTTTTGAAGGTGTTTCTTTCCCTACGTCTCCCGAAGCAGCCATAACCGAACTCCTCTTCAATGGACGTCGAGCTCGAAACAATCCAGACCCCGGGGCTGGACGTCCTTCAGCTGCAAGTCTTGCATATCTTTCAGCTCCAGCGACTGTGCACACCGGGCATAACACGTCACCTGCAGAACAAACAGAAGAAACCCAACAGCAGACGCGGAGCAAGCCAAGGTTGTCAATGGAGGTAAGAAAACGCATAATTGACGTTTTATTATCAACATCTACGAATAACAAACTTCAGCGGGGGGTCATTCAAGCACTGGTAGAAGAATATAACACGTGTTATAAGACTATATACTTGATGTGGTGTAAAGCTAAAGAACAAATGAGACAAGGACTGCCCATAGATGTACAAACAAACATGAAAGGATGTGTTGGTAGGAAAAAGTTGGATCTTGATTTAGAACAGCTTTCTGAAATTCCTTTATGAAAAAGGAAAAATTTGAGGGCAGTGGCAAGCCAACTTAAGGTGTCAAAAACAACTGTGCACATGTTCTTAAAAAGGAAGGAGATAAAGCGTCACTCAAATGCCATAAAGCCACTTTTGACACCCTTGGGTAAGTTAAAAAGGTTAAGGTTTTGTTTAAATAACTTAGTGCCTGATACCATTCCCATTAACCCTACATTTCATCACTTCTATGATCATGTTCACATTGATGAGAAATGGTTTCAGTTAAGCCAAGAAACAACCACCTTTTACACCTTACCAATTGAGGATGACCCATATAGAACCATACAGTCAAAAAAGTTCATTCCAAAAATCATGTTTGTGGCAGTAGTGGGGAGGCCAAGGTTTGGGGAAAGTGGTGAAACTTTGTGGGATGGGAAGGTTGGAATTTTTCCCTTTACATATGAGGAAGCTGCCAAAAGAAACAGTAAGAACAGGCCTGCTGTAACACTGGAAACAAAGCCAGTAGATGTTGTAAACAGGCAAGTAATGAAGGCAATGATGCTTACTAGAGTCATACCAGAAATAAAGTCTAAGTGGCCTGATGCTCATAACAAGCACATTATCATACAACAAGACAATGCAAAACCACATGTTGACCCAGCTGACTCTGAAATTGTACAAGTCTGTCAAGAGAATGGTTGGGATATTAAAGTGCAATTCCAGCCTCCCAACAGTCCTGACTGAAATGTTTTGGACTTGGGATTCTTTAGAGCTATTGACAGCATCAAAGATCAAAAAGCTCCAAAGAATGTCAAAGATTTGATCAGTGATGTGGAAAAAGCCTTTGAAGAAATGACTCCACAAAAACTGAATAGGGTGTTCTTAACTTACCAATGTTGCATGGAAGAGATTATAAAGCAAAAAGGTGGTAACCAGTATAAGATTCCACATATGGGAAAGGATAGGTTGGAGAGAATGAACCAGTTACCAGATAACATTCAAGTTAGGATGGATGATGTTGTGGCTGCTCAGAATTTCATAGCATCAGAAGGTGGTTGGTGAAAGTTCAGATTATATCCTTTTGTGTTTTTGCTACTTGTGTGCAATGCTGTGAGGACAAGTACTTATCTAAGTGTACTGTCCATCTTCAGATTTTGCTTTTTGGGTTTTTGGGTATGGAATTTATGTATGTACATCAGAAGTGGGGATAAGATACTTTTAAAATCCATCCCCTTTTTTGCTTTTTGGGTTTTTGAGTATGAAATTTCTGTATGTACATCAAAAGTGGTGCTATGGAATTGTAGTAATGCAATCTGTATGTTATGAATATAGTCCAGACACAGCCAGAACACCCAAACACAGAACTTAGGTAATTTGCTATCATAGATCTCAGGAATGAAGATGTGGATTATTGTAATCCATTTGGGATAGGGTCATCACTGACCTCAGGCAAATTTAAATCAGAGACAGGTTATACCTCAGGGAATATTGTAATCAAAATGGGGAATAAGAGAGGATTAGTGTCATGAATTATCTTAGGAAAATGCAAAGAGTAGACACCTTATACCTCAGGGCCAATACACAAACAACATTGAGTGTGGTAGACCTCAGGGCAAAGTGACTAAAATTTTGCATATAATAGCACATCATATATGGGAAATGGGGATTATCTCAGCAAAAGCAATATTTATTGCATCATGGGACCAAAGCACTTAACACTTAATGGGACATGNTCAGCAAGGATACATAGGGACCAAGACATCAGGATGCATCACAGTTCTTACACATCCTCCCAAATAAACATGAAAACAAATAAGGGCTATCACAGATCAATCATTATGTTCCTAGCACCACCACAATTGTACAGGTCAAATATACATGCAATTCTTTTATCCCAGTACAGAATTTCAAAGCAACACCCCCATATCATCATTAGTCACAACAAAAGTTACCACTTTCCGGTCATGTGCATGAAATAAATAAAAGGAGAAATCATACCACATGGTTCCAGCCAAGAAGGTCTTTTTGGAGGGTCATCCATGAAAAAATATTCAACGCATGTCAATTTGGTCGGGTCATACACAGAGGTTATCTCTTCCCCTTCCCCTTCTTCGCTCGAAAATCCCTCTTCCGTGTCTTCTACAACCAAACAATTGTACTTCTTTCTGTACCTCCATGTAGGGTCTGTTTCAGATGTGTATGAAGGAGATTCAAAGGGAAGCACGCTGGTATTTTTGTTTTCAGAGATATCAGGGGATCTAGATCTAGATTTGGATCTAGATCTTGAAGGCGAATCTTGTGATAAGAGATGAAATGTTGGAATTGATGGATCTGGAGCCATTGCAGAAGAGTTACGGAAGAGAGAAGAGGAAGACTGAAGAAGATGGAGGAGAGTAATGAGGGGATAGAGACGAAGAGGTAGGGCGGAAGTTTCGAGGAGATAGGGGACGGGTGGTTCTGAACGTGGGAGGGGTATATTGGTAACATTTATGGGTAAATGTTACCAAATTTAATTTTTGTAATCTATTTTGGGACAAATAGATGAAGGAATATTGTAATAAAAAAGGGGACGGAGGGAGTATAACTTTGGGCCTCGCTCGAATTTTCATGAAATCACTGAAGGTAAATGCTATTTACATCACTTGGAACTTTTCTGACAACAACATTTGTCTCCATGTGGACTCTTCTATTATCAGTGGAAAAGCTGCGGGGGGGAGCCATTCTTCGAAACGGGAAAGGTTTATTTTTATCAGGCCTTACTATTAAGTTGAACTTAACGGATATCTTCTTAGCAAAGTTGGAAACAGTTGCCAAAGCTTCTCAATGGGCTAGGAACAAATCCTCTGCTCCTTTGTTTATTCACACAGATTGTAAGGCTATTGAGAATGCATTGAAATGGGATAAGACTTGCATTAGTTCTCTTCTCAAAACTCTCAAGGAAATCTCACATGGGAAGGACTTCACTTTTAAATATGTGTAGAGGGACTTCAACTAAGCAGCTCATCATTTGACTAGATTTGCTATTTTCTACTCTCATTTTGGAGAATTTTTGCATTTTTGTTTTTTTTACTAGAATGGTTAGAGGCTGTATTAGACTTGATGTATCTCTTCCCCATATTATAATTAAATAATAAAAAACCATTTTCAGTTTATATATATATGTATATATATATATATATATATATATATTATAATATAATATATATTATTTAATTAATAATAGGCCAAAAGTTGAAAACAATTTACTGAAAAAAATTAAAACTGATCGAACAAATAGACGGCGGTAGTATATATGTTGTTTCTCTACGTCGTTGGTAATTTTGATTTCATAATCGGTCAAATGCACTACGCTTCGGTGTGTAGATTAGCTAGTTGATATATAGCGCAATGCGACAAATATTTGATCCAAATTCAATTTCTGACAATTACAAAAAGACCAGTGATCATGCAAAAGCATGTGATTATAAAAGTATCAAAGACAGATTTCGATCTTTTCTAAACAATAATGAGATTATAACACGGAGTAATTTAATTACTCCTTTCGTCCCAAATTATTTGCAACGGTTCTTTTTTTTAGCAGTCGCGTGAACTTTTGTTTATTTCTACGTTTTCATTGGTGATTTGATAAAATAAAATATTTTTGACACCTCTTATTTCGAAGACCTTTTCATGTAGTTTTTTGATATGTAAATTTTATACCAATATGTAAATAGAATGAATTGAAAAAACTTAAAATTTTTCTTCGGGAATATAAGTGTGACAAATATTTAGGGACGGAGGAGTAATTTAATTTTATTTAATTAAAGTGTACGTCTTGAGTAGTCTACAGAGAGTTGGAGTATGGAATGGGGAATGCAGCCTGCTGGGAGACCGCGCGAGAAGCAGCAGCTTTTAATCCTTCCTTTTATCACATCAGTTGGGAATCTTTTGCTATTGTTTGTACTTGTTGCTTGTACTTGGTGCCTTATCTGTGCTATACTGTGTTCAGATAGGATTTTAAACAGATCGGATATATAATTACCAAATTCGTATCCGTTTAGTAATCGGATACGGATAATATCCCTTTAAAACGGATGCGGATATTTCCTCTTTAAACAGATACAGTTACGACGGTAATCGGATTTTCGGCTATCATTCTAAAGGAACTTTTGAGGATGAGCTTATCCTTTTTTATAAAATTATTGGAAAGAGTAGATTTTGACTCATATATCTCCTTTTTGTAGTCGCTTAAATTTTTGGCAACTCCTGCAGTCCTGCCTACAAAGTAAAAGGATATAGGTCTATCTATTTGTATTCTTTACTTCTCCCTCCTCGGTTAATGTGCAAAAAATAATCTAACAATGCACCCCAAAGAAATGTACCAAGATTTTAATGATTTACACTGGCTTAAAATATTAGTTCGCTTAAAAAAAGAAATATGTGCACTAAATAGCACTAAAACTTAAGTTATTTTTCTAAATAGCACTTAAATTGTTTTATTCTCTAAATAGAACTTAATAATATCTATAATGACCAGTGATGACAAACATTTACTTGAATAATGACTAATGGATAATGACTAAAAGTGTTACATTGAGAAAAAAACACATGCAGTGCTATTTAGGAAAAGTCATTATGTTTTAGTGTTATTTACGTAAATTCCTCAAAAGAAATATTTGTACTAACATTTTTTGTCAGTGTAAATAATCACACCAACATCACATGCACTATCACAAAATGTCCGTGTATGTTTTTAGGTTACAAAATGAGGTACAAGTTTTAGTGTACAAATAATTTAATCCAAAAATAATATGGACAAAAATAGTGAAACAAACAGAGTAATTTTGTGTCTTGTGTGTATTGGCTTCGACTCTAAATGAACTTCACATTCTGACTACTATTTTATAATATGAAAGAATTCTTTGTTGAGTTTTTAGATGTCATTTTTTATGTGGTCTTAAGATACATACTTAATTTATGGATTTTGTATATAAATACTCTTTTCGTCCCTATTTTAATTACAAAACGAGAATTACGAACCATTTTTTAAATTATTTTATTTATAAATTGGTACATCAATAAGAAATTCTCCCTCCGTCCCACTGTCTTTGTCCACTTTTGACTTTTGGAACTGTTCATTTAAGCACTTTGACTCATCAAATTCTCTCAATGTGTAAGCCTAAATGTAGTCATGTGTGATCTTGTTTAATTTGTCTTAACATATAGATTATTAATATATAATTTCTATAATTTTTTAATACACAAATTACAAGATAAAATGGATTAAAGAAGTGCATTGGATGGTATGACAAAAGGTAAATGGACAAAGACAGAGGGACGGAGGGAGTAAAAATTATATGTTAAAAAATTATATCAAAAGTTCTACAAAAAAGAGGTGACAAGAATACTTTATTTTATCAAACAAACAATGAAAATACACAAAAAAACACAACTTATCGAGGAGAGAGAGAATATAAAATTGTACTCCCTCCGTCCCATAAAACCTTTCTCCTTTCTTTTTTCATCCGTCCCATAAAACACTTCTCATTTCTATTAAAAAGTCACTTTTACCCCTTACCTTTTCATACCCTACCTATCACATCATACCTTTTTACTAATAATCTACCACCAAATCCTATTTTTACCCATCACATCAAAGGACATTTTTGGAAATTCAATACCAAAATACACTTTCTTAAATCTCTTCAAAAAGCAAAACATCCCATGTTTCATGGGACGGAGGGAGTAATAAAAATAGGGACAAAGAGAGTATCATGTATGAATTGAGTTTTTGAAAAAGATAATAGATTTTAATGTGGCCCATAAAAGGCATGAGAAGGTCCAAAATTTAGATTAGAAATCACCCTAAATAGGACTAAAACATATAGAAAAGTACCAAAATAGGACTTTCATGTTTTTTTTCTTGAAATAGGACTTTGCACTGTGATAATGTGACTTTGCCCACTACCCCAAAAACAGTATCAGAAAAATGTTGATTAACTACTGTTAATGGAAACACAGTAGTTGGAAAAAACCAGACTAGTGTAAGATTTTCTTGGCAACAGAACAGTAGTCTAGGTTTTATGCTTTAAAACTATTTTTAAAGTTTCAAGAAACGCTAATGTATCATTAGTTGTCTGTGTTAGTTCAAAATACAGTTTTTCTTACAACAGTTGTCAATAACCAGTTAAGAATACTCTATTTAAACAATAGTCTGGGCTTTTAGTCTAGAACTATTTTGAAACTTTTTAGAAATAGTTATCTGTTGCTTGTTGTCTATTTCATATGGTTTTTTACCATTGTTGTTTATAATTGTAATAGAAGACTGTTTGGCAACAATAGTCTATGTATTATGGGTAGAATTGTTTTTGAAGCTGTGAGAAACTGTCATCTATCATTAGTAGTTGGTTTCATAAAAAAATACAGTTTTTATTGCCACAGTTGTCAATAATTAGTTAAGACTACTACTTAGTAACTGAAGTCTGATTTCTCGGTGTATAATTGTTTTTAAACTTATAAGAACTAGTATTGTATTGTTAGGGTTATGTTTCATATGGTTTTTTACAGAATTGTTTATTATAATAATAGAAGACCCCATGTAACAGTAGTGTATTTATATAGCGTAGAACTGTTTTTGAAATTCATAGAAGCTGTAATCTATTACAAGTTGTCTATAATAAGTTAAGAATATCATTTTTAAACAATAGTTAGACTATTAAGCCTAGAACTATTTTTAGAGTTTTGAGAAACCGTAATGTATTACTAATGTAGGATCGTTTTCTGGAACTTCCTAGTGGGTCACCCATCCTGGGACTACTCCCGTTCCAGCACACTTAACTACAGAGTTCTGAAGTTAAAGAGGTGCCAAATGCTTTCTAAACCAATTGGTGATAGGAAGGTGGACACTTTGTATTTAACCACATCTCTCTATAGCCTCAAGTCGAGGTAGATTCCTATAAGGCACCCCCTATAGTTCACTACGGAAGTGCGGAGCTCCACTACTGAGCAGTGGATGGACAGGAGGGGCTTCGCAAGATACACGAGTCGTGTACCTCGTCAGGTTGGGCTGTCAGTACCCGATACCGTGACTAGGACAGTAGCAAATCCCTAAGGGTGATCGATGGTCCCCCATAAGACCAACAACTAACACACCATAGCTCAAATAGACCCCAATAGTAGTTCAAACACTCCAAACATAATAGAGATTTCCACTCTAAACGATAGTACACACAACCCCCAAAGAAGGAATCTGCTGTTTGAAAATGACAGCAAGGAAAACCAAAGTTTCCAGCCCCAATCAAGGCCAGGAACTTATTCAAGGCAAGTAGAACTGTAGCAATGGAGAAACAGACAGTGCTCGAGACCAAGAAAATTCAGGGAGAGAACACCCATTAATGGATTACAAATTTAGTTAAGGAGATGAAATGCACCCTAAATTATGACCAAAATGCACTAGAGAGTCGGAGAAAAAAGAAAGCAAGAAACCCGGGAAATCGCAGTTTGATGTTCGTCTGTGAACGAATTCTTACATATACTGGAAATCCAACTTTAGAATCTTTTTTAGCATCCCAAGTCGCCCAAGGGTAAAATGTAAATTATTATTACCCCTACTCAGAACGGTACATCAATGTTATATGCTGAACCATAAAAATGGTTTCATACATGAAATGAATACAACAACAATACAACAATACCACAACTTGGCACGCAGGCCGTACAAAAAGACAATCAAAACAGCAAATCTATAGTTCCATGATTTCAAGTACCTATCAACATCAAATGGCAGGCCACAAAGCAACACAAACCTGTCCATGGCATCCACAAGGCAGCTTGCAAACTCTCAAACAGTCCTAAAAATGCAGTAGGTCAGCCCATATACTACCCAGGCCACT